AAAATGGCCGGGCATGGCGCGGTGCGGTGCGAAAACGGCCGGGCGCCACGCGGCGCGGCAGAAAAATGGCCGTGGACCACGTGTCAGGGCGGGTGTCAGGGCGGAAAAATGACCGTACCCGGAGGCGGAGTTCGCACATCGAGGTAAATTTTTGCGGCCGGAGCTGGTCGAAACCCGAAAAGTTCATTAGTAGAGGTGTTCATATCCCGAGGTACCACTGTATTTAGAGTGTCTTAAAGTACCTGAACACCATAAAAATTAGGACTGACAAAATCAAAATGAACATCTGCCACAACATATGTGTCCATGAAAAAATTTACATTGCTTTGCTAAAAAAAGCTACTCTCAAATCTTCCAGTGTGCTTTTTTTTTGGGGGGGGGGTTCTTTTTGTCAGACATTGCCCTTTTTTAAAAAAAAAAAAGAAAGAAAAAGAAAAAGAAAAAGTTATATCCCAATATTCTTCCAGGAATTCAGATCTGGATTTTCACCTCACAGCAACCTTGTGAATAAGGCTACACTAACCATTTCCCCACTTCATGGCTAAGCAGAGGTTTCTTAACTAATTTATCTTCATAACATGTCAAATGCTATTCAGCAATTACCTTCATCTGTTCTCATTCATCTGTAGACTGCAGCAATTTGCTCTAATATAACAGTTTGACAACTTCTTACTTCCATGGAAGTATCTGTTAAGGAACCCAGGATATTCCAGTACATTGCACAAATTCTTATGACATGTTTTATTGCCTATGCATGGTTTATGCAGGACACTACTCAGATTTTGTGGGGGAAGGGGTCCACTGTCTGATCTTGTCAGGCAAAAGAGTCCTGAACATAGTGAATGCTGCCCCTGAAGATGAACAGGGGGATATTGGTAGTGATACCCTATTTTCCAGACTAGTTTGCCTGTTATGGATCTTCTCACAAAGAAATCCCTGGCTCAATCTCAATGAATCCCAAAGTTCACAGAATGCAATTTTAAGCCCAATGGCCTATTATATACAACAATGTAAACCCTATTATTCATTCCAGATCAAGGACAGGCAAATTAAAGGTCACCTCCACAGGCCTCTTTTTAAGTGCTTCAAGCACACCACATAACTTTTTGATTTCTAATGAAAAATAACACTACTTTACAACACAGATTTGTAGCCAGAATCCTCTGCCTATTTCAGTTAAATGGGCTCTTTCCCATTCACAAGAAAGGAGGGAGGTTATTTGGTGAATCCGGGCATAACCCCTTTCATCCCTGGTCACTAATAGCCACTGACTTTTATCTTTTATTCTGAATGTACCTCTGAATCTACTCCTGTCTCTGTTTTGATGGTAGAACAAAGAAAGTAATTTGTATCAATCAGGTTTATCATGTTTAAATATTTCCTCTGTTCAAGCTGTCACAAATTGATGAGGAGAGGGTTGGGAATCAAAAATATATAGTCATCAAAATAGATTTTGAGTTACTCTGGGAAACAATGTAAAAGCTGACTTGTAACCAAATTCTGAGATGAAAAGGTTTAACTAAAGATTGGCAGCAATCAGTACACAAAGCCTCCAAGTGAGTGTGTGTGTGTGTGTGTGTGTGAGTGATGATGATGATGATTACATCAGTTTCTTACAAATGCTTTCATGTGGAATATATTCATTTTAATATTTTTCAACAATGAATCCCATCTTTGTGTTCTGAGAAAGTATATACTATGTATGTAGAAGTTACCCCTGTGATCAATGAAAAACTGTACTGGAAGTGAAACCCCTACATCTCTCTTATAAACCATGCTGCAAATCGAGATGAGGCAGTCTGAGCTTGATTCATTTGAAGTTTCCCCCCTCTGAAATTAAATAGCCTAATTTTAGTTTACATAACCCTCTACACATATGCATCACACATTAGCATTTTTCAAATACATTAAAGTTCTAGCTGTATTCACTAGGACACAAGCTCCAATGAATTCAGTTAGACTTATTACCCAGTAAATGTTCACAAGATTGGATTACAGAGTAGAATGTCTTACTTCAGTCTGCTGATTGCAGAACCCAGGACAGCATTTCCCTCCCTTTCTCCTCCCATTTTCTAAGAAATTTGCAAATAAATCATCTTAATATATTGTCTTTAGGTTGCCAGGATGAACAGTTTTGCAGAACTACTAATTAATTTAGGAAGAATGATTCTGAAGCATTACTAAGGTCTTTCATAAATATTTAATATACTCTATACAGTATCTCTCTCTCTCTCTCACACACACACACACACACTATATATATATAACAACACCAATTTAATATAAAATGGAGTAATTCCTGCTCTCAGTGTAAAGGGTATGCTTTTTATCTTATAAAAAGAAGCTGTCACTATAGCTATTTCATTATTTCACTTAAACCATTTTTAAATGAAACTGACATGAGAATGCTCTTTTCATGCTGGATCACAATCAAGCTGTTGCCTAATACACAAGTATAGCTTACTTCAGATGTGAACACAAATGGAAGACCAGCAGCAGACACAGCTGAGTAAACTTTCTAAGTTTCCTGATCAGCCCAGACTGGAGTTGCATAGGTCATTATATGCACACAGCTTCACCACCAAGATTGCCCAGGGCAATCTGCATATAGATACCATGGGAGTCAGGCACCCTTCGCGACAGAGATGGCATGATATATGCCTTTGCACATAAAGCTTAATGATATAGAAAAGTTCCTACCTGCTGACACACACGCACACGCACACGTTGAATCAGAGGAAAGATTTCTTAGTCATCAGTTCGTGCACTCACTCAGGAGTCAGGCTATTTGAAACACGCGTTTGCCTTTCCTTGGGGTACTTAACACAAAGCGTTTGTACTTTCAGAAAGTATTAAATGTTGTTTCTAACAGAGGCCAATAAGGAATATCACTATTATCGCACTTGTGTGCCTATGCCCTTATTCTCTAAAGAAAACATATTAAATTAAACTAGTATCACTTTTTTACCCCCTCGTTTGGACTTCACACACATGCACGTGCATATGTACATTAAAGAAAGCACCACACACATCCTACCAACCTTAACGTCCCGCCTGCTAATCACACAGTGTGGTGTAGTAATTAAAGTGTTGGACTCACACGGGGAAGATGCTCAGCAAGGACAGGCCACCACTAGGTGACTCTGGGCCGTCCTCTCTCCCAGCCCAACCTTCCTCACGGGCTTGTCGCCGCGGGAAAAAATCGGAGGAGGGAAGGCTGCGCCATTCTCCTGGAAGGCGGGAGACCAGCCAGACAAACCAGCCCGCGGAGCCCTGGCGCTGCTCGAGCTGCTCGTTCCGTACAAACCGCCTCGCCTGCCTCCAGAGCTGCGCACGCGCGCACGCGCACTCCGACGCTCTGGGCGAGCAGGCTGGCGCGGCCGCCGCCGAGGGTCCGCGGCGAGGAAGTCGCCATCAGCCCAGCCCTTTGTCTGCTTACCTGGCCCGTGGGTCCCGCGCGGGAGGAAGTCGCCGAGCCTGTTGCTGGCGGAGGAGCTGCTGCTGCTGCCGCCGCCCGCTGCGTCGCCGCTGACGTTGGTGCAGAGCCCCTTGCCGTCGAGCAGCGCCTGCAGAGGTTTCGGCTCGTCGCTTCGGGGCCGGCAGCTGAGCCCGGAGCCGCAGCGCTCGGTGTAGACGCCGCACGGCTGTCCTTCTTGCAAGGCGCACGTTAAGCAGCAGCCGCAGCCCGGCTCGCGCACCAGCTCTGGGCACTCGGGCGCCAAGGGCTTGCATTGCTCCAGAGCCCGCGCGTCGCACGGATCGCACCGCACCACCGGCCCCACC